TCTTTAAGGTTTTTTTTTTTTTTTTTGTAGTTGAAAGTCAAGTGAAATTATGTAGGCTGTTCTTTGAATGCTAAATGACTGAATTAAAAAAAAAATCACAGATTTCTTTTTCCCTTATTACAGGTAGAGTATTCTGTATCCAAAACAATTAGAACCAGAAGTCTTTTAGCTTTGGATTTGATTTTTTTTTTTTACATTTTGGAATATTTGCATTTATGCCTACACGGGAAGCATACCAAATCCGATAATCTGAAATTTGAATTGCTCCAAAGAGCATTTCTTTCAGTGTCATGTTGATGTTCAAGAAGTTTTAGATTTTGGGTTTTTGGATTTGGGGTGCTCGACCTGTGCTGCCTCAGAAGAGTGTTAGTAATTGGAAGACTAGTCTGAGAGTCAATGTGTTTTGCATTTCCAACGTTTCTGCTACATTGACAGGCCTAAAAGTCACTGAAATAAGGAGGGGAAAGATACCTTAGAGAACAGTCAGTTCTCGAATACGTGGTGCTCTTCCCATTCTTCTTTCCAACTATGACCCAAGGCTCAGGAGCCATTACAAAAAGATTGTTAAATAATACTGCATGAGAAATATGAAAATTATGCATGACAGACACTACAGTAAGTGGTCAAACAACAAAGAAAAATACTCATAACTCTTTTAGTTAAAGGGCTAATTTCCTTAATATGTAGTTTCTACAAACTGATAATAAAAAAAGGACCAAAAACTCAATAGAAAAGGTGGCAAAAGATATGACCAGTTTACTGGTAAGGAAATACAATTGGTGCTTAAAAATATAATCAAATGTGTAGACTACAAATTATACACATACGCATATATTTATCTATAGTTTGCCAAATGGATCAGCAAAGAACAAAGTATGACAGCACTGTCGTAAGGGTGGGAAGACAGGGACTCGTACACCACTGGTGGGAATGTCGATTGGCACAGCTTCTTTGGAGAGTAATTTAGCAGTATTGATCAAATTACAAATATGTACATAGCCTTTCACCCAGAAATTCCGCTTCTAGGAACATATCCTCACATACAGTCAGGCATGGCATCATTAGTTTCTGTCAACGATGGATGGTATATACAATGGTGGTTGGAGCAATAGGCTATATTATATGGCCTAGATGTATAGGCAGCTACGCCATCTAGTTTCGTGTGAGTACACTCTACAGTGTTCGTACAACAAAATCACCTAACGACACATTTCTCAGAACATATCCCCATTGTTAAGCAACACATGACTATATGTTAAAATAGAAGTTGGTTTAATCATTGCAGCAATACAAACTGTAGCAAGATTGGAATTAAGCTAAATGTCATCTGTAAGAGTAGGGTAAATAAATAATAGTTAAGAACTCACAGGCGTGAGCCACCGTGCCCTGCCTCCTCAAAATATTAAACAGAGTTTCTTGGTATATACCCAGGAAAAATGAAAACGTTTGTTCACACAGAAACTTGTACACAAGTGTTCATAGCAGCGTTATTCATAAAGGCCAGAATGTACACTCCAGCTGATGATGAATGGATAAACAAAATGCAGTATATACATGCAGTATGGAATATTATTTAGCCATAAAAAGGAGCAAAGCACAGATATATGCTCCAACATGGATAACCTTCAAAACATTCTACTAAGGGAAGGAAGCTAGTTATAAAAGGCCATATATTGCATGTCTCCATATGAAATGCCCAGAAAAGGAAAAGTCCATAGAGGCAGAAAGTAGGTGCTGGGGCAGGGGTAGGAGGCAATGAGGAGTGACTGCTAAGGGGTATCA